CGGTGGCTTTGAGGTGAGCATCGGGGTGGTGCGAGCATAGAGCCACCAGCCCCATGCAGCCTCAGGGTCGCACCACCACTGTCCTCCCTGCGTCCTGCAGGCCTTCATAGGCAGCCTGGAGCTGATGGAGGGCCGCACCAAGTACGAGGAGCTCTGCATCCCGCTCTGCATCATCCCTGCCACCGTCTCCAACAATGTCCCCGGCTCGGACTTCAGCATTGGTGCCGACACTGCCCTCAACACCATCACCACGGTAGGGCTCCCCAAACAGGCCAGCCAAGCCTGGAAAGCAGCCTGCGCGGGGACCAAGCATCCCCCCGGCCTCCTTTTTTCCCCTTCCCAGTCCCCATCTTGTTTAAGAACCGCTGGGTTTCTCCCCCCAGACCTGCGACCGCATCAAGCAATCAGCAGCCGGGACCAAGCGGCGCGTCTTCATCATCGAGACCATGGGTGGCTACTGCGGCTACCTGGCCACGCTGGCGGGGCTGGCGGGCGGTGCAGATGCCGCATACATCTTTGAGGAGCGCTTCAGCATCCGCGACTTGCAGGTGGGCATCGCCTAGCTGAGGCCAGTTGCTTCCTTGCCAGGCCCTGCACAGGGGCAACCCACTGTGCCTGCAGATGAGGGGTTGCATTTATCCCTCCTTGTTTTTTTTCCCTGCTGTGTTTCCAAGAAAGGGCCCTACCTCCCTCTTGTCTCTGGTCACAGATCAATGTGGAGCATTTAACTGAGAAAATGAAGACGACAGTGAAGAGGGGCCTGGTGTTGAGGTAACCCTGGCTGTGGGGCTGCTGGGAGGCAGGGACAGCCCCTGCAGCACCGCTTGGGGCCCAGAGACGTGAGCTGAGATGTTCCTGTGGCCTGCTGCGGGGGGCGGTGCACATTTTTTTTTCCCCCCCCGCCCCTGCCCCAAGCCTGCCCCAGCCTGGCTGCGCTGCCTCCGCAGGAATGAGCGCTGCAGCGAGAACTACACCACCGACTTCATCTACAACCTCTACTCCGAGGAGGGCAAGGGCATCTTTGACTGCAGGAAGAATGTACTAGGGCACATGCAGCAGGTAGGGATGGGATGCAGTGGCAGCTGGGGATCCCAGCTGGCTCCCGCCTTGCCCCATGGTGGGGCTGATCCCCAAACACCAGCCCCAGGGAAAAACGCCGATTGCCCGAGGGGCTCCAAACCAGAGCCTCTTGCTTGGTCGCAGCACCCTCTCCATGTGCTCGACGGTTTTTTCTCATGCAGGGCGGCACTCCCACCCCCTTTGACAGGAACTTTGGCACCAAAATGGGCGCCAAGGCCGTGGCCTGGATCACCGGGAAGATCAAGGAGTGCTCCAGGCACGGTAGGTCCTGCAGTGCAGCTGTGCTGCGATGCTTTTGCTTCCTTCTCAGCCTGCTCAAAGCAAAAGCCTCCTTTTGCAAACCGGAGGGCAGAGGGTTGCAGGGCCCAGCAAAGCTGCCCCCCACTCTCCCCAAATAGGCGAAATGCTGAGCCCACTGCCGACCTTCCCTTGCAGGTAGGATCTTTGCCAACACGGCTGACTCGGCCTGCCTGCTGGGCATGCGCAAGCGCAGCCTCGTCTTCCAGCCCATCAACGAGCTCAAGGAGCAGACGGACTTTGAGTAGGTGGCCCAACCCCACTGGCTGCTGCCTTCGCTGCCTCTGGGCATGGGACAGAGCTGGAAAGAGGGCTGGGAACCGCGAGGGCGGGTGGCTGGGAAGTTGGGCATCAGCAAAGGTGGCTGTAGTGGAAAAGGGTTTTCCGAAGTGAGAAACATTAAAAAAAAAAAAAAAAAAAGAAAAAAGCCAGATGGTAAGAGCTCAAACGAGGCTATTCCCTGCCCTGGAGAAGAAGAGCATTGCTACAGGGAGGATAAAAAGGGGATGGAAACAGCTTCATGAGCAATGCAGTGCCATATCCATCATGCTGCGGTTTTCCAGACTGGAAAACCTGCCCACATACACTCATCCAACCCATCAGTAAGGGCTCAGTACAGGATTATCAGGCGAGATTTAATTGCATCTGCTGCATGGGAACAGAGGAATAAACCAGTACTTGTTTACCTGGGTGCAACCCCAGCCATGATCACCACTTTGGCCTTTCCAGTGCTTTGCACTGTGGAGCAAAACTCGTCACTGCTCATGCGGGGTCCTCACTGCTGCCCTTCCTCTCGCCCCAGGCACCGCATCCCCAAGGAACAGTGGTGGCTGAAGCTTCGTCCCATCCTGAAGATCCTGGCCAAGTACAGCATCGAGCTGGACACCTCAGAGAAAGCCCATCTGGAGCACATCGCGCACAAGAGGATCTCGCTGGAGTCCAATATCTAAGAGGCCTACACCAGCAAGGCTCCCCATTAATGAGTTTTCTTTTGCTTCGGGGACCTCCAAATAAAGCTCTCTCTATTGTAGCTCACTTCCCTGGCTGCGCGCACAGCAGCCTTCCGCTTCTGCAGCCCTCGGGGCTGCATTTGGTCATGCAGGCATGTGCAGCGGCCAAGAGATGCTGTCAAAGCAACGCACATGAAGGGCACCTGATGCACTGGTGCAAGGGCAGTTTCCTGAAGCTGACAGTTTCCTCAGGGCAATCTGGGCTTTCTAAAGCCCTGCAGTTAGTTATTTTTGGGGTCTTAAACAGAAAAGTGTTTGCCAAGCAGCTTGCGTTATGGCAGGATATTGCAGTGACCCAAGAGCAAGCAGTCTGGGTAGAGTTACTAGGACCTTAGTTTAAATTCGTAAAGAAGATGCTTCAATAAACCAGCACCGCTGATCAGTGGTTGCAACATGAATGGTGCTTGAATCCTCTGACATTCGCCTACTAGTGAAAGCACAGCATGTCTCCCAAGCATGTGTGTTCAGGCCAGGGCACCCTGGCCACTATGTCTGCGTTTGACAGGAGTCCCAATGCATTTTTCTCAGCACAACAGAAAAAAATCTTACTTTCTCCTCAAAGTTTCTCCCATAAAGTAACTGAAATCTAATCTCCTCACTTCACCTTCAACCACAAGCTCACGGCAGCTCTGCCTGGAGAATGAAGGGTTTGCAGAGTGTTGGTGCATCGTCATTAAGACGTCAAAAAAAACCAGACAAATTCCACTGGGATGGCTCCTCCGACACAGCGTTGCCCGCAGTGAGCACAGGCCAGCACTGGAGGGACAGGGTGAGGGCGTCTTGTGAGAAGGGGGTCTGCATGCACAGGAGTGGTCTCTGAAGGGGCTGACCGCGGTGACCACCGTGTCAAAGGGGAGCACAAGGACAGGACGAGGAGATCTAGATAGCCAAGGTGTGGTTAGGGCTGGGAGAGAAGGGCCCTGTGGGAAGATGTGGCTCAAAGCAGTGAGGGGGAACAGGCAGAGCAGAACCACAACTAAAATTTATGTAAAACCCAGAGCCAGCCCTGGCAGCAATGGTGCAACACACAAACCTTCCCATGCACAGCTCATGGCTTGCAGGGAGCCATTTATTTCTGCGAATACAAGACATGGACACACGAGACACTACAACCAGACAGCAGGCAGCAGCTTCATGCCTGGCAAGCTCTGACAGTACTTCAAGAGGAGATTGCCTTATTTTCCTTCTTTTGGAGCCTTTTGCCTCTCCGTCCATGGCTACAGTATGTGCTGGGAACGTGCCCTTTGAGAGCAAAACTTGCTAAACAGAGAGAGGGCACTACCTGAGGAATTCCTGCTCAGCTTCCCACGTGGACATGCTGCCAATGCGTTTACACATTACCTTCAAAAATACATATATTTACATAAATGAAAATCAACAATGAAATGGTGAGTGGGCAGTGCAAAATCAAAACAGCAAACTAAGGAAGAACTCAGACAGGTTACTCGATGGCAGGTATGAGCCAGCCCCTCAGGTTAGGAGTACGGAGCATCCTGCACTCATCCTGCTGCCTACTCTGCACAGCAAGGGAAACGTTTCTTCCATTCGCATGAATTACAACCTCAGGATGCCAGACTTGTGGAGTGGAGAGCAATGAGAGCAGTGCTGTGATTGCTTCTCTGCCCCAGAGCAATGTTTTGGTAGGAATCAGTCCTGATCGGGCAGCAGGGACTGACGCGCTCCAGACCTGGCTCCACCAGCCACGGTAAATTGCTCTGAACAAGCATCCCTGCAACAACTAACTTGCACCTTTATCCAGATGTTTCCCTCAGCATCCCCAGGAATTGTGCTTGGTTTGTCAAGCACTGAGGGCTCCTCTGTCCCACTTCCTTCCCTTTGAAAAGGCTAATAGGTCTTAAAAATTGCAGAGAAGAGGGGAAAAAGACCTCTCCCATGTGTTGAAAGGAAGTCCAGGGTCTCCTGATGCCCAAAGCATCAGGAGCTGCAGACAAGCTCTTCACCATTTGTTGGGAGTGCAGGGTGCTGTGCTCAGGCAGCTGCCAGGACAGGCGCAGGCATTAGCTCTGAGCAAAGGCATCAGCCCATGGCACTATGCAACATACAGACTCGATACACATGCTCGGGGTGTACTTTTCCCTGGGCTTTGCTTTCCCCCATCTTCTCCCTTGCCCTTTTCATGCAGGTTAATGCCCAGGACAGCTACAACCGAACTGCTCTCCTTCCCTGCTCTCACCAAGATCTGCGCCAACTCAAAAAAAAAAAAAGTTAATCCCACAGCTGGGATACAATTTGCCATTTGTTCAAGGGGGATACGTTGTCTTATGAGGATGCGGGTGGCTCAAGGCTGAAACTGAAGGGGAAGAGCTTGGGAGGAGCCAAGTAGGCAAAGAAACTACACAGGGCCTTTCCGCTCCGCGGATGCAAGCGGCGCGGGAAGATCCCGCTGTCCTGCCCCGAGTGAGCTGGGTCAGACAGAAGAGCAGAGCAGGAGGAAACCCAGGATGGCGACCGGTTGGCGCTTGTCCATCGGGGTGAGAGAGGGGTCCAGCATCTGTGAGTCACAAACCAAGTGGTTAATTTGGTTACTGTCGCTGCCCCTGTGCAGCAGGGAGGAACGGGGCTGTAAGCCAAGTGCAAAAAAAACCCTGAGCCTCACCTCTCGCTTAAGCTAAGGAGCAACACAAATTCCTTCAGGAACACAGGCAAAAGTAGCTCCTTCACAGCCTCCAGCAGGAACTGCACACCCCGGCTGCAGTGCACGGCATAGCGAGATAGCGTCTTTAGGGTGCCCGGGGCAGAGCAGAGCAGGGTGAGCTTTCCACAGAGCTGCTGATCCCTGGTTACCTCCCAGGGCATGTTGCCGTTTTTCTGTAGCTCAAAGTGTCCAATAGGCCAGTGGAGAAGGTTGAAGCAGGCATCTTCACGCTCCATGCCCAGTCCTCTGACCTGCAGCTCAACCAGCTGTGAGATGAGGGTCTGACCTTTCAAACTGACCACCCAGACCTCTGCTCCAAAGTCGAGCAGGATGCTCACACTCTACAGGTTGCCCTTCATGGCAGCCCAGCTCAGCGGCGTGTCATTGTTGTAATTGCGGGTGTCCACCAGGGTGCCGTTCTCCAGGAGTGACTGCATGCACTCTGCGTTGTTCTTGAAGGCAGCCCAGTGGAGGGGGGTGTCCTTGTCGCCATCCAGCGTGTTGGGATTGGTGCCGTATTCGAGGAGGATCTGCACCCAGGTCTCGTCCTTTTCTGCAGTGTAGTGGAGGGCAGTCCAGTTGTAGCTGTCCAGGGCATTAACCTGCATGAAAAGGGCAAGGGAGAAGATGAGGAAAAGCAAATTTGGTGGTGAAGGTGCTTCCCAAAGGCTCCCAGTACTGACCTAACTCTGTTCCTCCAGATGCCAGGAAAAGTTTCACCAGCACTACACAAAACCTTTATTCCTGCAGCACATTTGCATGCCTCATCTCCAATTTACAGAATGGGAAAATGAGGCCTGGGGAGGTGTACAATCTGCCAGGTGCCAAGAGGAAGTGCCCGTAGTGCCCAGTGTGGGCCCGTACGAGCCCATAGAGCCCGGTGCGGATCCAAACGAGCTCGGCATGGGCCTGTATGAGCCCATAGAGCCCCAGGCAGGCCCGTATGAGCCCGTAGAGCTCGGTGCAGGCCCGTACGAGCCCGTAGAGCACCATGTGGGCCTGTACAACTTGGCACAAGCCTGTACAAGCCCAGAGGGTCCAGCGCGGGGTTGTACGAGATTGTAGAGACTGACGCGGGCCCATACAAACTTGACATGGGCCCGTATGAGCCCATGGAGCCCTGTGTGAGCCCGTACGAGCCTGTGCAAGATTGGCGCAGGTCTGTAAAAGCCTGTTGAGTTGAGCGTGCCTTTCTAGGAGGCTGGGGAGCCTCTGCGTGGCTTTCAGTGTGGCTAGAGGGCCTCTGCATGCCTTTTGGTGTGGCCGGGGAGCCTTTATGTGCCTTTTGGTGAGGTCAGAGGGCTTTTCGAGTGCCTTTGGGTGAGGTCGGGAAGCCTCTATGTGACTGTGAGTATATATCAGGTGCCTCTGCATGCCTTTAGGTGCAGCCAGGGGGCCTCTGTGTTCCTTTTGGTGTGGTCAGGGGGCCTCTGTGTGCATTTTGGTGTGGCTCGGGGTGCTGCATGTGCCTTTGTAGGCGGCCGGGGAGCTGCCACATGCCTTTCAGTGTGCCTGAGAGGGGGGCCTCTGTGTGTCTTGCCATGCTGCTGGGTGTCCTCTGAATGCCTTTTGGTGCAGCTGGGGGGCCTCCGCATGCCTTTTGGTGTGGGTGGGGGAGTCTCCGTGTACCTTTGTAGGCAGCTGGGGAGGCTCCGTGTGCCTTTCGGTGCGGCCCAGGAGCCTCTGCATGCCTTTAGGTGGAGCCAAAGAGCCTCCGTGTGCCTTTGGGTGCAGCTGAGGGGCCTCCCTTTGGCTTTTGGTGCTGCGGGGGGGCCCTCTGTGTGCCCTTTGGTGCTGTGGGGGAGCCTCTGAGCGCCTTTCGGTATGGCCAAAAGGGGGGCCTCCGTGTACATCTCAGTGCATCTGGGGGCCTCCATGTGGCTTTCAGTGTAGCTGGTCAGCCTCCGTGTGCCTTTGTAGGCAGCCGGGGAGCCTGGGTGCGTGTGTTTGTCTGTGGTCGAGGGGCCTCCGTGTGCCTTTTGGTGCGGCCCAGGACGTCCGCGTGCCTTTCGGTGGGACTGGAGAGCCTCCTTTTGGCTTTTGGTGTGGCGGGGGGGGTGCCTCTGAGTGCCTTTTGGTGCGATTGGGGAGCCTCCACGTGCTTTTCTGTGCAGCCTGGGGGGGCCTTTGTGCGACTTTTGGTGTGACCGGGGAACGTCCGTCCACCTGCTGTTCGGTATGGATGGGGAGCCGTCCGCGTGCCTTTGTATGTGGCCTGGGAGCCCCCACATGCCTTTTGGTGTGGCTGGGCTCACACGTGCCCCTTTGATCCCTATCTCACTTTGGGGCCACAGGAAAGCCATTAGTCAAATTTGTCTAGAGCCCCGCTCTTAGTAGTCTGCTTTCGGTCCCTAATTATAATGCGGACCTGCTTGCGGACTGCCGTGCCCTCCTTCTGGAATATTCTGCTTGATTGACAGCTGCGGGCTTCTAGGCACGTGTTAGCCCTCCCCCAAGGATTTGGACCTGCGGCCGTGGGGGATTTCTGCGGGCTGACTGGGGCCGCAAAAAGGACAGGGTGATTGGCACATTATCCCCATTGTTCAATGAAACGCATTTTTCTACTGTTTCCCCTGAACCAAACCTTCCGTGACACTGGCAGACGTCCAAGTGGCTTTCGGTGCTGCTGGGGATCCTCCATGTGCCTTTGTGTGCAGACGGGGGACCTGCGGCTGCCTGTGTAAGCGGCCAGGGAGTCCTTGTAAAGTGGCTGGGGAGCCTCCGTGTGCCTTTCGGGGCGGCCAGGGCCCCTCCGCTTGCCTTTCAGTGCAGCCAGGGAGGCACCACGTTCCTTGTCAGGAGGCTGGGAGTAGCCTCCGTGTGCTTTTGTGTGCTGCTGGGGGGCCTCCGTGTGCCTTTTGGTGTGGCCGGGGAGCCACAGCGTGCCTTTTGGTGAGGCCTGGGAGCCTCCGTGTGCGTTTTGGTGTACGTTAGGGGCGTCCACATGGCTTTCCCTGTGGCCAGGGGCCTCTGTGTTCCTTGCGGTGCGGTCGGGGAGCTTTCGCGTGCCTTTTCGGTGTGCCCGGGGAGGCTCCGTGTGCCTTTCAGTGTGCCCGGGAGGCTCCGCATGCCTTTTGGAGCACCCTGGGAGGCTCCGCGTGCCTTTTAGTGCAACCAGGGAAGCTCCGCATGCCTTTTGGTGTGGCCAGGGAGGCTCCACGTGCCTTTGGGTGTCCCCTGTGACGCTCTGCATGCCTTTTGGTGCGGACAGGGAGGCTCTGCGTGCATTTCGGTGCAGCCAGGGAGGATTCAAACACCTTTTGATGCAGCCGGGGGGCTCTGCATGCCTCTTGGTGCCTCCCGGGGAGGCTCTGCGTGCCTTTCGGTGCGGCCAGGAAGGCTCCGCGTGCCTTTTGATGCGGCTGGGGAGGCTCCGTGTGCCTTTCTGTGTGCCTGGGAGGCTCCGCATGCCTTTTGGAGTGCCCTGGGAGGCTCGGAGCGCCTTTTGGTGTGGCAATGGAGGCTCCGCATGGCTTTTGGTGCGGCCAGGGAGGCTCTGGGGGTTCTGGGTGCCTTTGGGTGTGGGCTGGGAGGCATTGGCGTGCCTTTTGGTGTGGGTGGTGAGGCTCCGCGTGCCTTTTGGTGTGGCCGGGGAGGCTTGGCATGCATTTTGGTGTTGCTGGGGAGGCTTTGCATGCCTTTCGGTGCCTCCCGGGGAGGCTCCGTGTGCATTTTGTTGTAGCCAGGGAGGCTTGGCATGGCTTTCGGTGCAGCTGGGCAGGCTCCGTGTGCCTTTTGGTGCAGCCAAGGAGGCTCGACGTGCCTTTCGGAGTGGCCAAGGTGGCTGCATGTGCCTTTCTGTTTTCCCGGGGAGGCTCCGCGTGCCTTTTGGTGCATCCGGAGGTCCTCCGCGTTCCTTGTGGTGCAGCAGGGGAGGCTCTGAGAGCCTTTCAGTGCGGCCAGGGAGACTCCACGCACCTTTTGGCCCAGCCGAGGAGGCCTCGTGCGCCTTTCGTTGTGGCCGGGAATGCTCCGTGTGCCTTTTGGTGCAACCGAGAAGGCTTGGCATGCCTTTCAGTGCAGCTGGGGAGGCCTCGTGTACCTTTTGCTGTGGCTGGGGAGGTTCTGCGTGCCTTTCGGTGCAGCCGAGGAGGCTCCACGTGCGTTTCAGTGCAGCCAGGGAGGCACTATGTGCCTTTCGGTGCAGCCAGGAAGGCTCTGCATGTCATTCAGTGCAGCTGGGAGGCTCCACATGCCTTTCAGTGTGCCCGGGGAGGCTCCATATGCCTTTGGATGTGGCTGGGGAGGCTCTGCATACCTTTTGGTGCCCCGCTGGGAGGCTCCGTGCTCCTTTCGGTGCAGTTGGCGAGGTTCGGCCTGCCTTTTGGTGCAGCCGGGGAGAC